AGAGCTACCTGATATGGGACAGAAGAAAAACCAAAATTAAGGTATTATTGCCACTAATCTCATGATTCTTTGGTTTTATTTTGACTCTTTGACATTTTTTTAAAGGTATAAATATTATCTCAAAATTTATAATATATAAATATATATATATTAAACTTTCTGTCATGATGTTAATGGCCATATAGAGTACTAATTTTAGAAAAAGGCTTAATCTAGTTTTCTGTAGATAATTTTGGGTTTGAGTCTCTATCAGATAACTAGGAATTAAGTTTCTGTACTCTGGATGTACTTAACAAATTGTGGTCCTTTAACCTTCAAGATCTGCTACATGTGACATTTAAAATGTTTGAGTTTTCTGCAGTGAACCATGCTCATTCCTAATAGCAACCTTTGAAGTCTCCAAAAGGAGGATGGGGCCCCACATCAATAATTCCACTTGGATTGTGATAACACCATTAAGCTGACAAACACCACCCAAAGATGAGCTTTGGACTGCAAACTGCTCAGGACAATTTCAAAGTGGCTGGCTGAGATGGTTCAGCCTCACAAACTACTTTAGCCATGACTTGAGACAAGCCCTGCACTTTCTCATTACATAGAGATTGGACAACAAATGATACAGCTAGCTCTTCCAAGACTTGACCATTATTTCAATTTTCTCAGGATCCCCTAGAGATGCCACTTCCCCCTAGACAACAGGAAGTAATTTTAAGAACATGATGCCCACATTCCCAAGAGGTGGGGTGGATGGTTTTTGGTCATTCAATGGGTTATGGATATTTGTCATTGTTTAGGGGGTTGGTTACAAATTGTTATTGGTAATGGTCAGAAAAAAAGCTGAACAAAGTTGATTATATTAAGGGATCTCATTTTTGAAAAGAAAAAAGGGGGATACAGAAGTGATAGGATAAAAAGAGTAGATTATTGAATCTACTTTTAACCAAAAAAGTAATTACTAGTCTTAACTATTACATTGGTATGGTTTTTTGTATATTGATACAAATTTGAGGTTATTTTTATTAGAATATACTGTACATATGTTTCTACTCTTGTTTAAGGTATTTTATCTATGCATCTCATTTAACAATATAATTTAAATTTCTAGTTCTTGAAAGTTATTATTAAAAACTATTCAAGATAATAAAAAATGTAGATAAGTAGTTAGTCACCTATTATAATCAAACTTGTTAGGTATGTCTTCGAGGTCAAACATATATTTTTAGATATACAGGTGGTCTTCAAACACTTCAGAGATCTACAGAATATGGCATTTAAGATGCTTTAATAATATAAGTTTTTTTTAATGACAATGAGACATGTCTGTTTGTAGCAGCACCAATCTACTTCAGAGAGGATGATGAGCATCAAAGAAACTCCACATGGATTTTACTTTCTTTGTGGCAAAAGTTAGTCATGGGGCAAGAAAGTGCCCTTGCCTCGACTGCTGACAGTATGCTGTCCAAACTGGATAAGCAGGACATAAAAGAAAGTGACTGCCAAACTTTTCCAAGTGAAGGAATAGACAGTCCTTCAAAATTCCTGCTTCATAGAAAAGTCTGTCAGATATTCTAGGCCTGTAGGTCAAAGATGGATGGCCCATCATTGCAGAGGAACCTTGGTTGACTGTCCAGGCAGCCAGATATCTCTGTCATTTCTACTGGAATTTGTTTGCTCTGTACTTTCTGTTTACTCAGGTAATGTTTTATCTTCCTTGAGTCTCTGATGAGGGTTGAAAACTAGATAGTTATAGCATTTTCTTTGTTATCAAATTAAGAAAACTTACAAAAGAGATATAAAGTTTACAAAGTTTGTGAGACATAAAAGTTATTTACCTAAGAAAATGTTTTAATGTCTAAAAAGAGATTTTTAGGTTGGTAATACAAGTTATGACAGGAAATGGTTTAGGTTCACAACTTTGGACTCACCAAGATAGGATAGATAACAGAGTATTTTCTCTGAATTTGCCAAATACAAATGGACTAGACATTGTGAATGTAATTTTTACTTGGTCATTGTTCAAATTGCATATAATTTTACTGTGTTAAAGTCTTTCCTTTTTATTTAGACAAAAGGGGAAAAATGTTGTGGGATAATCTTTTTGTACACTGTGAAGATGTGTCTTTGCCAAGGTGCTTTCTGATTGCTTTAATAAAAAGATGAATGGCCAATAGCTTGGCAGGAGCAAATAAGTGTGATTTCTGGGGAGAGAGGGGAACTCAGGATAAATGAACAACAATAGCAAAGATTCCAGATTTATAGTGAACAATGGGTAGTTATGCTTTGCCTTATATACAACTCTTAAAATATACCCCCTACCTTATTTCAAATCAAAGCCAGCCCATTCTTTCTATTGTATAATTTTTCAATTAAAAGCCTCAAATGGATTTCCATTGCATTTACCATAGAATCTAGTGGCCTAATCTCAATCTTATCCAAGTGTCTTTGTCTCTTGTTTTCATTGTCTCTTCTCCTCAGGGTACCTACTCATTCTCTTCCTTATCCAACACTAGTGCTCTTTCCTTGCTCCCTAAGCAGCTGAAAAGTCACTTTCCCAGACACTTCCTAGATTTCCCTCTTCATGATTCTCTAGGCTTGTACAATCTCTTCAGGGTACTTACTATAACTCAAATTGCATGCATCTAGTTCTTTGCTGTGAGTAAGCACCAGAAATACCTGTATGAATCAGTAAGTTCCATGCAGGCGAGGTTATTTCATTGATCACTGTTTGCCTGACACCCAGGTGAGTGTCCAGTTGAGATTTATGTTGCACCGTTTACATATTTCAGGCATTTGCACTAGTATTGTTTTCCACGCTGGCTTTGTTTGAGCTGTACACCTTTAGCCCTCACTCCTCTATCCACATAAAAACACAATTCAGATTCTTTGTGATTTTAGTTCCTTGCTTTGTAACAAAAATGTCTTTCTGCAAAGGATTTTAAAAAACTGATTACTTGCCGGGCGGTGGTGGCGCACGCCTTTAATCCCAGCACTCGGGAGGCAGAGGCCGGCAGATCTCTGTGAGTTCGAGGCCAGCCTGGGCTACCAAGTGAGTTCCAGGAAAGGCGCAAAGCTACACAGAGAAACCCTGTCTCGAAAAACCAAAAAAAAAAACAAAAAAACAAAAAAAAAACCTGATTACTTGAAAAGTATAAATGACTTCTAAGATGTTTCTAGTACATTCTTAGAGATGCATATTTATTTAAAATTTGTGACTTTCCAGTTAATGAATTTATCACTGTGAATTCCTTGGCATCAGTTTTCTCCATCTATTTCTCATTGTCATAACCCATCAACAGAGTTGTTCTAGAATTATATCCTTGAAGGAAAGAACTATGGATGTTGGCTTACATGTGTATGCATTTACTGAGTTCTGCATTGCATGGTATGAATGGCTAGAGATAACAAATGTGAAATACATGATTCTGTAGAAACATCTTTGTACAAGGAAAATACAAATAAAACACTAACGTGCCTGAGACCCTGGGTTCTATACCAGCAATGCAAACAATAGAGAAAAGCAAAACCAAACGAAACCAAAAAAACCAAAAACACTAATAGGCTCTGAAGCAGTAAGGCTTGGATTGGAATCCCAACTCTGCCATTTAATATCTAAGTTTCCATTCCTTTATTTATATGAAAGAACAATAGCTATTGTAAGGATTTGAGAGGAAGAATAATGCTAAATCATTCAGCAGGTATTTACATGCCCAGTGCTGTGTGAGGCACCGAGGATATAATAGGAACAAAACAGATGAAATTCCTGATTTCACAGGGCTTACATTCTGGTGAAAGCAGATCAGAAATAAAACAGGGACATACTTATATAATCTGCTAGATTACATGGTAAAGACAATACCCAGAAAGAAAAGGCATGCACGTATGTGGGAGGAGAGAGTGCGTATTTAGGAAGGGTGGGGGCTGTATTATGCAGGTGGTAATTGAAAGAGAAAGGGGCACAACTGAGTGGATATTTGAGGAAAGAGCATTCCAGCAGAGCCAACTGTAACTGTTGGAGCTCTGTATCAGAAATGTATCCATCCTTAGGACATAAAGCATGGTCTCCAAAGTGAACAGCCCTGGCATCAGTGGTGACCTTGTTAAACATACGAATCTGTAGGTGTAATTCACCCTAGTAATCCGGAGGCTTGTTACTAGGGACTTATTTCAACTAGTTCTCTAGCTGGCCCACAATAAGAGCCACTATTCTAATAACAAAAATACTGCTTTGGAAACAGGTATACTTGGCAGCACATCACCTCTACTGGCTATACTGCCTCCAAGGTACAGGTCAGCAGATTGTTGGGGTCCCAGAGTTCCCAATTCAGTGTGTTTGGTGTGAGGAGACTCTGAGAGTTTTCATTTCCACACATTCTTAGGTGATGCTGATTCTTGCCCTGGTGTTACTCTGAGGATCACTAGAGATAACTTGCAAATGAGCTGCATGCAGGAGCAGTCCTGCCAGAGGAAGGTAGTAGGTGCGGCAAGCAAAGAGGAGGCAGTACTTACGAAGATGGCACACAGCGCCCTGTGCAAAACATTTTCTTAAAGAGGCCATGTTAAGAAGGCTACAGAGAGATTAGGGAAGCAAAGTGAAACCAAAGCTGACCTCTGTACTATGAGGTACCTGACTCTGGGTGAGGACAAGAGGAAGTGATGAACAGCAGTAGAGTCTGGATAATTTCATAACTAAAGCCCACACATTTTGCCTATGTGTTAAATGTGGGGTGTAAGGAGTGATTATTTCAAGTTTCAAGATGGCCTCAAGAATCCTAGACCAGGAGACAGCGCATAAAGTCCCTGGCACAGTATGTGCTCAGTAAACGGTGCATTTAAAAAAGAATATTGTAATCACTCAACCCTTGGAAAGCAGCGAGGGAACCTATTGGATGAAGTGTCCTGAATCATAGGTGCTGAGCCACTCCTTGGGTCTTGCTTCACATTTTGCAAGAAGGGAAATGGTTTTCAGAAGGAGAAACAGAAAGTCGAACCCTAGCACTTACTGCTGCTTCTCCTCTCCGTCCATGGCCTCCTCCGCCTGGCACGCGGCAGCCAGGAACGTTAGGAGAGAACACTGACCAACCCTTGCTCCAAGAGGGGATCCAGGGCGCTGCCATTGTGACTCCAGTGTTGCTAAGCGACTGAAGCCTCAGGGAAAAGCTGCAGGAGGCTGGGACCTGAGCGCAGGCGCAGTAAAGGGAGCTTTGCTGGGCGTTCGCAGTCGGGCGTGGCTGGCCCCAAGCTGGAGGGAGGGAAAGAGCCAGCAAGTCTCTTGTTCCTATCTCTGGCCTCAGGTTGGACAATAAGTTTGAACTTAGCCAGTCCTAGAGCCACATAGAGCCAGCCTCGTGGGGACCAGGATGGTCTTGAGGAGTGAGCGAGGATGGCTTCCAGGCCTTCCCCGCTGCCTGGGAAACCTGCTTTCCATGATTCTGCGCTGTGCAAGTCCTAATTCCCGTGGGGAAGCTTGGCTGCCACTTTACCGTGGTTACTGACCGAATCTCTGTCGCCAGACCTGTGGCGAGCTTTAAAACAGAACAAAGAAACACTCCTCTGCAAATGAGGCTCCCTGTGGTGCGTGCATCTGCGCTATCTGAGCGGAGTGGTTGCAGGGGACTGCAGGTTTCTGCAGAGTCGGGCTTGCATGCCTGCACTTTCCCCAAAGCGCAAGCTCCCGGGAAAAGACTTGACATTCACCTTGGACCTGGAATTTCTTACTTCATTTTACCATTGCTTCCTAGTTTCCACTACCAGAGCCAAACGTCTTTGGCACATGTGATAACTGAAGTGTTTTCCTGCATAGAAAAGGAAATGGGATTACAGAGGTTTCTGTTGAACTGAGCTCTCCTGTGTATGAGGAGTTTGTGTAATCATGGGACACCAAAGTCAGTTTGCGTATTTCTATTCGCTTGGGACAGATGTGGTTTAGTGGAGACTGACCCTAGACCTTTGTACGCATGTCCTAAAGTCCGGTCAGACTTAGGAAAATAGATTGTGGATAGATTTGACATTCCGCAACCTACATACTTGAGTGTGGACTGTGTTGTTAAAAAGCTGGGAGGGTGTGTGAATATGTGATGGTGTGTGTGTTTTTGGAGGAGGGAGTGGGTGGGTAAGCAAATATGAGGAAAATGGGTTGGAGAACTGGAAAGCTAGGAAGGGAAGGGTCATATAACGATCAAACTGACTAGGCACAAAGGCCCTGGGAGCAGTAGGTGTTTGCATTGTGGATGTGTCTCTTATTAGCTTGTGTTTACGGAAGATATTTAGTATCTTGGAGCCTGAATTTTTTCATTCATAAAATCTGGAAGCACCTAGTATAGATGGTTTAATTGATGCAGTGTAGAAGATTTAATAGCTAGCATTAGCTAGTGCTGCTTTATCAAGCCATGTGACCTGCGTGTGGTGCCAAGGGAACTTTTCAGTCACAAAGAAGATGGAGTTGTTTGCAGAAAAATGGATGCAAGTAGAGACAGAGTAGGTGAATTAAGCCAATTTCAGACAGAAATTATGCATTTTCTCTCATCTGTGGTTCCTATATTTTATATAGTTACACAAAACCATGTATGTATAAAACAAAAGTAGAAATAAAATTGTCTAAATGACAACCATGTGGGGATGAGAAAAGGGAGGATGGGAAGGTATAGTGTGTGTGTGTGTGTGTGTGTGTGTGTGTGTGTGTGTGTGTGTGAGATCAATATACAATGTAAACCTGAACAAACTATGTGGGGGTGGATGGGTGCCACCTTGCATTCACACGCAGAGGCCAGAGAAGCATGTCATGTATCTTCTTCTACCATGAACTCCTGCTTTATTGCCTTGAGACAGGATCTCTCATTGAGCAAGAAGAAATTCACTGATTTGGGTGTTGGCTGGCCAGATGACTCCCAGGAACTGCCAGTCTCTACCAGGCAGTACTTGGTTACAGGAATGTGCATTCGTACTCTATTATTTGTATGGGTGCTAGGGATTTGAACTTGGGTCCTTTATTTACACAGGAAACACTCTTGTACACTGAACCATCTTTCCCAGGCCCACTGTATGAAGAAAAATTCTTTTGATTAAATTTAATTAAAGACCTACCACAAGGTCACAATCTTTGGGATCTAAACCACTCAGGAAAACTTTGGCAACAAAACTGCAATGATATATATAACATTATATTAATTAATCAACAGTTATGGGTATTACATTTCAGTGTTGATGATAATATAATATTCCAACCATTATTGGTGTTTTCTCTAGGGCATTGCACATTATGGATCTGATAATAATTATTGACTTTTTAATACAGAAAGTATTGCACAGCTATTAGTGGTTTTTCCTCATAACTATTTGAGGAACTGATGTTGTAAATGAAACAGTGTGAATGTTACCATCCTTAAAAGGTTAGGAATCACTGAGGTTTGGAAGGTATTCTATGTTTCCTAGTTTCTTTTTAAGGCCGTTTTTCCTGTTATGCCTAAAGAGTTCCAGAGGTATAACCCTCTTCCACACAGCGGTTGCAATGCCTTGTTGTCTAATTTCTGAGTGACTTCTATATTCTGACCCATTAACACTGGACTGTGAGGCTTTTAATTTATTCATTTGAGACCCCAAGACCTAGAAAAGAACTCTCTGTAATAAAAAAGCCTTGAACGAGATTGACCTATAAAAACCCTTTCTTTTACAAATATTTTTCATTTTATTTACTTTGTAGGCCAGTGTGTATATCCTACTAAATCTATACTGCTTCTAAATTTCCAGTTTTTTTTAATAGACACACATTAAAAACTGTTATTGTATTCCTTAGAGAATCTCCACATTTTATACATGGTAATTAAAAGTTCTTTTAAGCTAAACAACTTAAGTTCTTCAGCACCAACCATAAAATCTACTTTGAGTCCTTTGATAGTGCAAATTGCCATTTCTGTACTTTTGAGGGGAGGAGAACTATTATTTATTGAACTTTCAGACTAGACCTGTGTTGAAATCCTTGCTTTGTGTCACTGAAGAAGTTATTTATTGATGGCCTTCGATTTTTGGATATTTTGGTTGTTAATTAAAAATAAGAAAGATCTGGGCATCATGGTACATACCTTTAATATCAACATCAGCAGGTGAAGGTAGAAAGTTCAAGGCCAGCCTGAGCTGTATGATGGCATCTTCAAGGCAAACCTAAGCTAAATGAATCTTGTCTCCAAAAATCAAGGGCTGGGCGGTGGTAGCACACACTCTTAATCCTGTCACTCAGGAGGCAGGTGGATCTCTGTGAGTTCAAGGCCAGCCTGGTCTATAGAGCTAGTTCAATGACAGCCAGTGTTACAGACAGAAACCCTGTCTCAAATAACAAACAAAACAACAACAACAACAACAACAAAAAACAACCCAAAATCAATCAATCAATCAAGGGATAATGGTAGAGTGCTTACCCAGTAACCAAAAAATAAAAAATTAAATAATGAAAGTGAAAGGTAGTAGAAGAACTTGTAGGGTTGGTTGGTTTATAACCTGACACAAAAGAAACACAGAAGCCTCAGTGAAGTTGAAACCTGACACACAGCATTCAGAACACTGGCTGGAGGACTGGGGATCTGAGCTCATGTGGACTTCACAGTTCCAGGCTATCCTGGACTATACAGATGACAGAGTGAAACCCTGTCTCAGAAAAAAAAAAAAAAAAAAAAAAAAAAAAAAAAAAAAAAAAAAGCTGGCCAGATCTTGCTCTTGCAGCCACACCTGACAACCTGAGTTTGATCCCTACAACCGTAGGGTGAAAGGAGAAAAGAGACTGCCCCAAATTTTCCTCTGACATTCACATGCACACCACAGCACATGCCTGTGCACATGCAATCACACACAAAATAAAATGTTATAAAGATAGTTTTAAAAAAACACAACTCAAACCGAAACAAAATCCAAAATAAGCCCTCAATAAGTATTCCTCCCTGCTGCCCTTAGTATCTTCAACCTTATCCAGGAAGAAGTAAAACAACTACCATTTGCTTTTGCATCCGTTTTCTCACTTTTAGACATCATGGCCTTCCATGTACTCTTGTCCACCTTTAGCTTTAAAGCATGGTAGTAATAATGGGACATGATACCCTGAGCAAGGTGTTTCTCCTGTAGACTAGATTGTAAAGATTAGGAGCACTGTGTTGTGAGATTAAGTTTTAGATCAAATCATTTTAATCACAGATTTAGAACAATTAAAATCAAACTGTGTGACAGAAGTGGATGGCAAGTGGAAGAGTGAGGACTGAAGGCTGTGTCAGTGGGCAAGGATAGTTATTCAGTGATGGGTGCAAAGGTTAAGTGTGCTGTATCTGCTTGTGGAAAGTCACCATTCACAGTGAGCTCTGACACAGGTACAAATGCCATGGCCAGCTGAACAGAAACAGTAATGATTCAAGAATGAGCATGTAATCACAAAGGTCATGACTGCAGCTTGTGATCTTACATGGTGCCACAGTGTGACACTGCCACTGAGTTGCGGAGCAGTAGTGAATGTTTTGATGTGGGTGGGTGGATACCTTCTTCTGTAGCACAAGTAAAGTGGTGAGGCAACTTAAGATTCCATTAAGAAAAAAAGTCTAAAAGTTCGAGCCTAAAGAAGAATCACAGTTGAGAACTTTGAGAAGAAAATGGGAGACACTTGATGAATAGTTTAGTTTACTTCTGATACCTCCTAGGCTGATGCCATTCTTTTGAAAACAGTTTGTCAAATTAAGCTTTCCTGAGTCTTTTATTGTATTGTTCTAGCCTACCCTTCCTTCCTTTATAGAACTATAATGGAATTTGTTTTCAGGTCGAAGTTAATTACTGCAGCATTTACAAGCTTTTCCAGAGTTTGGAAACACAGCCATGATTTTAATCCTCTTATAACAAGCCTGAGGCAAACCCGATTTAAGTTTCCTTTTTGTTGCTTTCTCTGCCAACCAATGAGGATTTAATAATTGGTTATAAGATTCAGGAAAAGAAATCTTAGAAACTTTTCTTTATTTTAAGAGACAAAAAGCAGCATTAAGAAGAAGTTGTGATATTTCAACCCTTTTTTAGTCATAAGGGATAAATAGCCATGGGGAGCATTGCAGACAGTGAGTCCTTCTGTGTCAGGGATGGTCAAGTGGGGTCTGCAGGAAGCTTTGTCAGCAGCCACAGTGAAGGAGGGTATGCTCTCTCCTGCTGAGAAACAGTAATTCAGACTGTTAATATTCTGATCTGTCCAGTGAAATTCTGACCCTTGGCACCGCCCTTCCTGTAAAAGGAAAAACTTGGCCCCTTCTCTCTCTTCTGCTTTCCTCCCATGAGGTGGTGCACCCCTTCCCCCTCCTCCCTCTTTCTCTCTCCTCTCCCCCCCCCCCCCCCCCGCCCCCCACACCAAATAAAACTCTTCACTGAGCACTGTCTGCATGGCATTTCTGTCTCTCATCTATTAGTGAAATTATTAAGGCCACTCCACGTAGTTAAAAGGAGATTTATTTAATGGCGTAACTTACAAGTTAAGGGATAGGCAGGTTGCGGGGTCTGGGGAAGGTGTATCGCAGTCCAGCGGTGTTCTCTGGAGCTCTGCTTGGCCCACCTTCACTGTCCAAGGTCCCGGAACCAAGTGAGTGCCCTGCCCATCCAGATCTCAGGTCTCCAGGCACCTCCCTCAGCCCCGCCTTGTAGGCGTGACAGTTGCCAAAGTCTCATGGGGGTTGGAACTTCCAGATCAAAGCTGGAATGGCTACCCACTACATCTCCCCCTTTTTGTCTAAATAAGAAGGTTCTAACCTAATACAAGACTAGATACAAAGGAATGGTTATCAAATATATTGTCCAGGAATAATGAGGGATAATGACCTAGATAAGATGGAACTACAACCAATGCGAACAATATCAAGCAAGAAACACATACTAAAATCCAGAGAAGTATAGAGCATAGGTAAATGACATGTTACAAAGATCATTCCAAAA